AGAGAGAGAGAGAGAGAGAGAGAGAGAGAGAGAGAGAGAGACTTGTGATCATGTGAGACCAAACGTTTTTCGTGAGACCCGTAAGATCAATTTTCAACCCTTGTATTAGATCTACAATATGACCATCTGAACATTCATAAACGCCACGAGACTTTTCAATAATCACAAAATTGATATCATGCAACTTTAGACCATTAGATCATTATCTTATAAAGTTGATCAATGAACATAAATTGGTCTTACAGAAAACCTTTGATCTCACGTGAACTCAATCATATATATATATATAGTCTCAATGCATTAATATTTTATTATAAGTGGGTTTGTTTTAGCAGTATTTGTTTTATATTCAAACTTTTATACTGTTATCGTCTCTTTTCTTATGAATTCTATCAATATCGTATGAGATAGAATCATGTTTTAAATGATTAACTGTACTCTACCACTATTCTTGCAACTTACAACCCCCATCTCCAACGACTGTTTACAGAATCATCCAAGACAAAAAATTTAATGGAATTAATGTCAGAGACCATTTTTAAAGAAAATGCAAACCATAACCATGATTTGTGGACTTATTAGAGGTTAAGTACCACCTTCAAAGATTTCACTTAATCTAAGGGAACAAAATTGCACTTTACTCTATATTTTAATATGAAAGCATTACGAACGAAGAAGGTAGAAATACATCATGACCATCGAAATAAAAACATATATTACTGAAAAACGTGATCTTAATTGTAACCTCCCAAGATCACATTTGCATATAAACATATATTTCCATATATAAAGAAATATAATTTACACATTTATCTAAAAAAACTACGTTACAGAGTAGCTACCAAACTTTTCTAGGAAACCCCTACACAAAACTTGTTTAAATAACAAGTATTCCAAAAACTGAAGAAAACACATTATTCCATGCAAGCAAATATAACTCTTTACAATTTTCCTTTCCCCTTATTATCTGATTGTGCCCGACTTGTAATGCACATTTTCAAAACACCAAAATGAAGGTTAGACCTTGAGGTGTAGCTAGAAATCCCTTTGTTTGCTATTACATGGTGAATAATCACCAAAACACTTTTATAAACTTATAAATGTATCAATAACAAATAAACAACATTTTAATATAACAAATCTCTTTTGACGCATCAAAATGATGAGACATTATTGCGTCAAATAGCCCAATAACTCATTTATCACATTATGATAAAACTCATCGCATCATATAGGTAAAATTATAATTTTCTCGCATCACATGGGTGGGACAACCCCAATTCCTCGCAACACACTGGTGCAAGGACCCATCTCACCGCATTACACTGGTGCGATAAACCCAACTTGTAGCTTCAGTAGGATGCAATAAGTCATCTTGTCGCATCACAAGGATGCGACAAACATACTTCTCGAATCACAAGGGTGCGCTAAAAGCCATTTATCGCATCAATAGGATGCGATAACCCAAGTCATCACATCACGTAGATGTGAAAACTCAAAGTCATCACATTATAAGGATGCGACAAACAAAACTCAACATGATCAAAACCCAAATTTTTTACTTTCCATTGATTATACCACCCTTATCCTGGTATACGCCTCTCTTTAATTGATATGTCACCCTTATAACCAAAATATACCTTGTCTTGATATGCCACACTTATTCCATTCGCTTGATATAAACATATAAAAGTACCACAATTATGCTAATCATAACATCAAAACAGTTTTATATCATCCTCATGTAAGGAACTTTACAGTTCCAATATCAACCAAATAAGATGAAAGTTATAAATAAACTCACTTTATGATATCACATAAATGAAAATTAAAACAACAAATTCAGTTAATGAACCACATAATCCCATTTTTATTTGATTATGTTTTTCCTTGGCTCCCGAAATAATACATAGATGTTTCTTTTTACCTTTTCCTTCTTGACCCACAATCCCAATGAGATAAAAGGATTATCTCATAATAATTTGTATATAAATCATGATGCGGTGGTTAATTTTCAAAGAATTAAACATATATTCAAATTAACCCCCTTCCATAATAAAAAATAACCCCAAACTTTTAACTGATAACCCGATTATCACATGATGCCAGAGGTCGAAACGACGCATACTAATGGTGACTCCAATAATATCTTGTTTGATATAGACAAATCAAAGATAAAGAACCTCACTTGGCACTTGAGAATGCCTTAATTGATCATTTATGGAGAAAAATATGTTAGTTTTGCTTAAATGTGTATGTATTTTATTTTTAGAGGTGTGTTGGAAATATAATATTTTTATTTAATGGGATTTTGTTTTGGATAATTTAATTCAGAATTAATTATGAGTGCAGTTTGGTTCAAATAGTACCATAATAAACATTTTAGTAACCATAATATTGCATGAAGCTAAATTAACAACTATATAACACCCACAACACCTTCCAACGATACCGAGTTGACTCAGACTTTTTGAAAATTACATTCTGAGTAGGAAGATACTGAGTTCAGGACCTCCGGTGCCATCCGGGTTCATCATATAATATGCTTCCGAGTCACGACTACCCACAACTCGGTCAAACCTTGCTCTCATGTACAACAACTCCCCCTCAGACGACGACCCACCACCCAGCTCGCTCTTTCTACCGTCCTCCACCACCGGTATCACGCCAGCTCCCACCGAGACGCTCTGCACCGTGCTCAACACGTGCCAGTCGGAATCCGAGCACGACCGTGACGACGAGTACCCACACTTTCTGCCATTACAGTACATGGTCCATGTGGATTCGTTGCACAGTTTGCCGTTTCCACCCGACTTCCGGTGATGTTTCTCGCACTCAAGCGCGATCCGTACAAGCCCAGAAGACATCTCCTTCACCAGCGCCGCCGTAGTCACCGCCAGCTCAATGATCAATAGAGGAGCGGATCGTGAGTCATACTGCACCGCAAAGCTGACGTGTCCTCTCCTGTTTCCGAATAACGTGCCAGTGACTTTCCGGCCGAGCGACGGCGTTCGTGAGAGATTGGCCGGCAAGGTCAGCCACCGGCATGTGGGAAGGATAGCAGGGATTGATATAACAGTGAGAAACGACCGGATAAGTGTGGAAATTCCAGAGCGGGTTTTCGAGAAACGTCCAAAGGTTATCGGATAGCCTTTTCCGACGAGGGATTGGTCGTCGGCGGCGGAAGGAGGATCGAGAAAGAATGAGGCGGAGGTGATGTAATTTGATGGGATTATTTTGCTGGAGCTGTTTCTGGAGGAAGTGAGAAGACCATCATACTCCATCATTCTGGAGGGTGGTGGTGGGAGGAAAGGAAGGGTGGCCAACGGCGGCGATGGTATTACAAGGAGGGAGAGACATTGATGATATATATATATATACACACATGAAAGCATGAGCGACAAACAAACATTTGATGACAAAATACATGGAAATATTTTTTAATATGAAGCAAATAACCAGCTTTCCTTCCGATAACATATATTAAAACCTGAACGGGATGTTTGGAATTGATTATTCTGTATCAATTTATTATAAATTAAAATCGTTTTAACTTCTTCAAAACTCTTTATTACCGGTTTGACACCGGTATAAATTGTTTATCAAAATACTAAAAAATGTTTATTGTCGGTATCATATCAAAATAAGTCAAAAAGTTATTTTTATAAACAATCTCAAACACTCGTTTATTCTAGTTGGAACTTAACTCTCAGGTGGCGTTTGGTTCGCAGATTCTGGAGGAATCTGAAGGAATTGGAATGTTGAATTCCTTTGACCAGATTCATTTCCTTCGTTTGGTTCATTCTTTTCAGCGGAAAGAATCTTCAGATTCCTATGAATTCCATGGATAAAGGATTTTAACATTCCATAGCAACTACATGGTATTTTGATGGAATGGAATCTCTATCTTCATTATACCAAATATGCCCTTAACCTAATATACTATAATCTCATAAAACTCAACATGACCATTGTCGACCACCTCTCGACCACTATTGATCTGAACCACCGCCGATCACCACCACCGACTACCATCGATCTGAACCACCACCGATCTGAACCACCGTCGACCACCACCATCGATCTGAACCACCACCGACCACCACCGGTCCGAACCACCACCACCGACTACCACCGTCGACCACCACCACCACCACCGCCGACCACCGCCGACCACCACCACCGACTACCACCGGTCTAAACCACCGCCGACCACCACCACCATCGACTACCACCGATCTGAACCACCGCCGACCACCACCGATCTGAACCACCGCCGACCACCATTGATCT